TATATATATATAATTTTAAGAAAAATTTGCAGCTTTGAAAGAAAATCCTATTTGCATATTTAAAATCAGTAGAATCAAATTATTAAAGTTTAATTTTAAAATAATCTCAGTCAACAGAAAATTTTTTAAAAAAATTGCTCCCCAATGTAATCTGGCCAAGAAACGGCTATGTTACTCTAACGTCTATTAAAAAGAAATAGTTTTGAGACATAAGAAAATTTTAGACATTCACTCGCAGGCTTTCTAAATTTAAAACAATTGACTTTCTTGATTAGTAAAGCAGCTGTTCACTAGAAAAAAAATTTATAATGCTGGGGTCTAACTACAACTACAACTTCCTATGTTTAAACACGAATAGTCAGGACAAATTAGATATCTAGATAAAAATGACGCATTGTCTTAGCTAATGTTAGTCTTAATGGATTGACGAATTTTCTATTAACAATATTACTGTAGAAGGGAAAAGAAAACTGTTGTTGCGTAAAACTATCATTAAAAATATACTCATCTATCGTTTTAAAGTCAAGGAAATAACAAAATTACGTGATAATCGAATAGCTATAAGTATTTGAGCGAAAACTTTTAAGACGGAAATAAAATGGTTTCTAAATTTCTATAATCATCAAATCCACACGGACAAGTTTGCTTGGTGAAACCGAGCAAATTAAGGGCAGAGTGCGCGTTTCTTGTTTTTCAGTGGCGCCATCTATGGCCAAGATTTCGACTTCTGCCACATCATGCGTCGCACCCATTTATAGCGCCGACCCATTCATACATCCATTCATTCATCCATAGATCGTAATTTTGACCTGAATCAGAGAACGATCGATCTCCAATCCAGTACCCCCAGAGGTTTTGAGTTCTTATGGGAACATGGAGGACTTTTGCGACTCGACAGATTTAACGTGTTCTAGTAATTCTAATTACTAATCTAATTAGTAATCTATTAACGCAATTCTAGTTGTTAGACGCACTATACGATTCTATGTAAAATCATAATTATCAGTATATACTATTCAGCTTTATTGATTTTACGGGACAGAAACCGTATGAACTTGTTTACGTTCGTGTAACAAGTGTTTAAATTAGGCGATATATAATATAAATCCGACAATTGGATGAATTAGACGATATATTATATAAATATAGAATATTTATTATATCAGGTATTGCATCATTATATTGTAACAATTAGATAAAATTATTAGACGCACTGTATTTTTTTAATAATTACATGCTTTGCACGAAGTTATATGCAATACTTTTATATTTAAACATACACGTAATGGGTTTTATTCAGAAGATTTTTAATATACTTCATATTTGTATTTATTTGTATTTACAATGTTAACCAATTGATACAAGAAAGTTAACAAGTGGGCCGGGATGGCCTGGTTGGTACTGCGCTGGGCCCATATCCGGGAGTTCGTGAGTTCGAACCCTGCCGGACGAAGACTCCCCGTGTAGTAAAGTGGCTGATACGCGTTAAATCTGTCGAGTTGCAAAAGTCCTCCATGTTCCCATAACAAATCAATACCTCTGGGGGTTCTGGATTGGAGATCGATCGTTCTCTGATTCAGGTCAAAATTACGATCTATGGATGAATGAATGGATGTATGAATGGGTCCTCCCTATAAACAGGTGCGACGCATGATGTGGCAGAAGTCGAAATCTTGGCCATAGATGGCGCCACTGAAAAACAAGAAGCGCGCACTCTGCCTTAAATTTGCTCGGTTTCACCATGCAGGCTTGCTAGTATGGCAAGTGGCATTAGAAACAACAACAACGTTAACAAGTGCAAACCAGTTTCAACTGCGTAAAAACAATAAAGCTGTATAGTATCACCTGATATTTAAGATTTTACATGGAATCTTATAGTGCGTCTAATAATTTGGCTGCGGACTGTATTTAATATAACGGGGCTTTTCAAAGTTGTAACTATATTTCAAATGCTTAGAAGTACGTTTCCTTTACAAGTAATACAAGAATAATAATATATTCCTTCATGTTTTTTTACATTACCAGCAGTGAAACACTTGCATAAGAGAGGATATGAAGAAGAAAAAAATACATCACCCTCCACTTTTTTTTCTTTTTTCCTGGAAAACCTTCTTTTGTGCGATTAATCTTTCGAGTGCTCTAAAGATTTCTTCTTAATTAAGGGGTGGGGGGGAGAGAAACGATCGGAATGCCAGCATCATCAGAGGATCTTGCAAAAGGGAGTAAAATGAATGAAAACCACGATCTC